GAGCAGCCAAAAAGAATATGAAAAAAATATATATCTTAATATATCCACAATGCCTTTCTGTAATTCCACTCATCTTTTCTCTTGACAACTCTGTATAAAGTGATGTATTTCAGATACATCACAGGAAATTTGTTCAATTCAATTCAGTTTTATTTGTATAGCGCCAAATCACAGAAAAAGACATCTCAGGACACTTTACAAAGTAAGGTCTATACCTTAATGTTATTACTATAGAGGAAAAACCCAACAAACATCCCTTTAGATGTCGAATGAGAAATTATAATACAACCTCACAAATGAAGGCAAAAGCCACAGTTTATTCAGACATTCTCATAAAGAAACTGTGGGGTTGTGTTAACATATTTTGATTTTTTTTTTTTAGATGAATAGAGCAATATCATTTGGGAATGAAATGATATTACATCTCCTTCTACAATCCTTATTCCTTCTCCATTCATTTCTCAGCAGCTCAGTATTTTAAGCCATTACACATGTCACAGTAGTTTAATAAATGTGACTAATACAAAAAGGTTCCTCACCAGGGCGCTTTTCTGGAAAATGTTGAGACTTCCCTCCACAGACATGACCACAAGGAAAGGGAAGAAGCAGAGGATGTAAAGAAGGCTGCCACTCAGGCCGGCGATGTAGGTCTGGTCAAAGAAGGAGCTGACCAGGTAACTAAAGGCTAGGATGCTAAAGCCATAGTCGCAGAAGTACAAGAAGAGAATGAAGCCATCACTGTTGGGCAGAATTCTGCCATGCTTCAGCACCAAAGTGAGGATGATGATGGTCATCAACAGGTAGGCAGCAGACTCCAGGAACCAGGCAAAGAAGTGGCTGAGTGGGTTGACTCCCATCATCTTCATGTACTGCGGGACATGGAAGGATCAAAATAAGTCTAAAAACACTAAAAAGGCAATAAAAATAAAGACAATTTTTGAGTTTTTAGTTAAAATTTAACATTTGTCATGTGATCATGTTTAGCCTTACCTCATGGAGCCTCAGCTCTCTCTCATGCACCTTTTTCTTCACAAAATCAGCCACGAACAGCACCCAGGCCATCATCATCATGGTCGGGAAGTTAAAAGAAATGCCGTCAAGGTACCTGGGGGTGACAGAGATGTCAATTGTCATTCAAATTTCTAGACAACATGACATCCAATCACTGTCAGCAACAGTAGATATAAAAAAAGGCCTATCATTCACTCACTGGCTTCACAGAGAGACAGAAATGCAGAATAGAGGAGCAATAATGAATAATGAGGATTTGGGAATTTCTCCCAGTCATGGTCTGATCACTGTATTATTTACACAGTACGATCACCTGCCCATGTTATTTTTTTATTTTTTTGATCAAATAATATATGTAGCCTGATACATAGTGATGTAATGCTTAGGATTTTTTAAATTATACATCAATATTTTACAATTATCTTCTCAAAATTGTGTCGTTGAGTATTAAACCAGAACAATGAGGAGGCAAGGAGCCTTATATCATCTAGCTGGTCAGAAGGCAACCAGTCAGAGACAGTGGCCACTGGTGTTTCTTGGAGATACTATACTATACTCTAGCTGGTTACTAAAGGCCTTAAAGGTGTTTGAGGGTATACACATCAACCAGTCAGAGACAGTGGCCACTGGTGTTTCTTGGAGATACTATAGCTGGTTACTAAAGGCCTTAAAGGTGTTTGAGTGTATACACGTATGATCTTCAAAAGTGAATGCAAAATAATAGTGAATATTCATGCACATGGTGCAGAACCTGTTAATGACCATTTACTGTCAATTCCTAGGGGCAAATGAATAATGCGAAATACTGCATTATTCCACATCAATGTCGACAGGTCCCATAAGGGACACTGTGCATCTTGTCACATTTCTATGCATGCTTCAGAGGGGATTTTTATCTGTGTATGCTTGTTGTTTGCATGTACAAGCATGTGTGCCAGCAAGCATCCATAGGGGACTCACTCATCCCGAAGATGGCATGGATAGGGGAAGGCCTGCAGCTGGACGGCTGGTTCTGTGACTTTCTGTCTAGTCTGGATCTCGATGATAGCCCGATCCAGATTCTCCTGAAGGTAGACAAAGCCCCGGTTGTAGCGCATTGTCTTCCTGGCCAACATGTGTGGGTGCTTCATAAAATAGGAATCCCGGGTTCGATCAGTACGTATGACATTGTCCATATGCATGCGGATAGTGTAGCTGACTATGGGAGGCAGAGGAGATGTGGAGGACGACAAGTTCCAGGATGAGTCCTCTTTGGGAAGCTTGAAGATGACACCTTAAAAACAGATTGCAGAATCTTGTTGCATAGTTTGCAATGAAGGGTAACATCTAAAGATCAGACTAAGTTCATTATCCTAGATACAGTACCATTCCCCTGAGTCAGATCTCCCTAAGTTGTTCTCAACTCAACTCATTACCAGCAAAGAAGACGTGTTTAGAAGAATCACCATAAACTGGAAAATGTAAATGGGTATACAGTGTATTCAATTGAGTGGATGCTTAATGTCCCTTTAAAGCTGCTAGCCTCTGTCACAGGTTGGGCTTACACTCATGCAAGTCTTATGTTACCCACAAACACTAACTCAGACACAAATCCAGAAAAACGCAATGATTAGCTGCACAGTGAATGGAAATTAACAATCTTGGTGGTTGTAAAACTGGGCTGTATTTTCTGGTATCTGGAGAAACCAAATGAGTAATTGACCTTATTAAGAAAGATTAAACTATATCTGATTCTGATTTCAAGTACTTGTATTACTGTTGTTGTATTTAGATGACATACACATGATTTAGCTGTCAAGGACTGCAAAATCAACCAAAACCAACATCCACACAAGCAGATTAGAAATGACTGCAGGTCCTGGATGCATATTGCAATGTCACGTGAACTTGGAAAACTGAATAAGGCTACACCTTTTACATAAAGCTTGACCATTATATCCAAAATCTACTCACCTGCATAGAGTTCACGATTTTTGGCAAGTTCCTGAGCGGCAGCGTCGAGCTGGTCAGCAGAGTCGTAGCCACGGTAACGGTCAAACTTGATACAGGAGGAGATGTTCACCAGCACGTTGGATAAGGTGCTGATCTGATCTAGTACGCGCTTGTTCTGGTTCAGCATCATTGTCATGTCAGCTTTAAAAAAAGAATAAACAAAATTACTTAACAGTGGTGAAGCAACTCTAAGTAAAGCCTGTGACCGCTGTAAATCCAAGTTAAAATGACATTTGCTGTGACTGTGTTTATCTTATCTTTATGGTAACTAAGTTACAAATGACATTTGAAATGTAAATAAAATGACTGACATCACATCCAGGAGAGACGCCCTACAATACTCATATCAAAATAAGTGTAATGCTTCCTCTAAACCTAAGGAACAGTCCCATTTTCTGATAGCTTGGATATTTTAGAGGCAGATGACTGAGGGGTGAATATAATCCTACAGTAAGCTTAGTATCTCCAGTTTACCAAAATAAGACCTTCAAACTCACAGAAGTTGCCGATCGTCTCCTTCATTCTGTCAACATTGATGTCTGTATGCAACTCAATGAAATTCTTCACAAAGGCATTGCTGAGGGAATTCTGATAGAAAGGGGAAGAAAGTGGAAGAGATGATGCACAACATCAAGATTCAGCTGCTGAAACTCATCGAAGACAGCTGCAATGTTTATCTCCAGACTTTCAGATGACAGCAAGCCGGGTACAATAATCAGGTATACAGAAAACAGTTCTGAGTTTTTATACCTGCAGCATTGGCAAAGTGTGGCTGAGTATTTCAGCAGACTTTACAATTTGGCCGGAGGTTTTAATCCAGTCTCCTGAGTTCTGCGCCAGATTTGCAAACTCGTGCAAGGTGTCATTGGACTGTGCGAGAAGAGGACAAGGACAAGAACATGTGAAAAGGCTGGATAGCAGCAACATTTCATGCTGTGTCTGTGTGACTCTCTGAGGGCAGCAATATACTAAAAACTAACTGAAACCTGCACAAAACAGAACCACAGCAGAACTGGTGGTGCATACAAATACAGGTATACTCCCTGCAACTGTGTATTTCTGGCTTACTACATGGCAGTGGGGGTGCATGAGGCAACTGTAGCCTAGAAACAAGCTAGAAACTGTACTAGCACAAAAAAATCTGTAAAAGACTTACTAAAGGATTTTAGAGGATTTGAAACAAAGTTCGTAAAATTCATTTATTTGGTACATTATTTCCACAATACTACTTAAAATGTTTAGCTGAAACTTATTTATATAAAAATATTTTGTGGCTTTGAGTGAGTATTAACTAGTGTGTGGGTGAAGAAAAGGGCAGAGGAGATAGCTGTGTGTTCTGTGTACCTTCTCCATTATGGCCCTGGTGACATCTGTGTCAGGGGTGTACAGGATTTGTCCCATCAGCATTGGTTTCAGGAAGGCCCAGGCAATGGCTCCTCCTGTGGTGCTGACCATTTCCAAAAACATGTTTGTACAGTAAGGTGCTACACAACAAAAGAAGAGAGGAGAATTGCTTTTGGTTAAAATGTTTAAACCATTTCAGGATCATGTTTGACCAGAATAAGGCTGTTGTCATTTTGTATGATCTTATTTTCAACAAATCCCATGAAAAGGCCAAAACCAACAAACAGAAGTCAGTCTCGACATGTGTTATAGCTTCTCTTGTGTGAAGCACTGTGCCACACACCCATCCAAAGACTACTGTTTTTTTTTTATACAGCTGATTATAAATAACAGCAACAACACTTGACGTTAGGGTCAATTCATTTGTTGGTTTTGGTCTCTATGTTATTTTATGTTTCAATTTAGAGTTGTCATTTTCTGTGTCCACACAACATCAAAATTCAATTTAAGGCAAATAACTGGAGGATTGGAATACTCTACTCTGTTTCTGCCAACTTTAGGCTAAGAACACAAAAAATTGCAAACCGTACAGTATTTTCTATTGTGCATATCTCATGTGTAGTTGCTGTTTCTTCTTGAATGCTTCTGATAGAAAATGAATCCAGTGAAAAACACGGAAGACCAAATATATTTGTACATGTTAAGAATAGTGAAGGCACTGAGAATAAATTTAAGTCTCCAAAAGCCCCAAATCTCTTCTTCCCTCTACATACTGGCATTTCGTGGAATCTTGAACCTCTCAATTATCTCTTCTCTCTCTTGGTTGTTGGGAGAGGAGGGGCTTGAGTCCGACCTGCTGGGGATTTCGGAGATCGCAAACAGAGCCGTAATACCATTACTGCACAGTGCTCGAGAGAGGGTGACGAACGTAGCCTCGCTAGATGTAACAGACCTCCGGTGTCTTGTCTTCTGGGCAAAAACAGATTGAAAGTTTTATCAAATGATTTATGATTGTATGCATATTTCTATGTTATGCATATTTAACATGGTTTATTTGTCATGCAAGTGAGAATACAAACTGAATGCATTGTGGGTAAACACTGTAAAGTACTAAAGAGTGCGCACATGTTTAAATTCATTGCTGGCTCCCAGGCTGAGGTCTTCAATGGAGAGCAGGAATTTTTGCAGTTGACCAATGGAGGGAAGCAGCTTGTCCATTGCGTCTGTTAAAACCTGAACTAATTGCAGCATAACTCCCATCATGCTCTGCAATTCTTCACACAGCAGCAACTGAAAGAAAGGGAACATACAAACATGTTTTACCAGCTCTATTGTCTTTCTTTTCTCATCTTCACATTTAAAAAATACACTGATAAAAATGTTTAGCTGAAACTTATTTATATAAAAATATTTTGTGGCTTTGAATAACCCATCCAAAGACTACTGTTTTCCAAAGCTCAGGACTCTAGAGGTTAAATAATTTTTTCAGAAAAAAAAAAAAACATTTCAATGAAAGCGATTAAACAGCAAAGGCCATCAAAATGCTCTACTACCAACAAATCTGAAGAGCTTCGTGCCATCACAGTCATACTTTAATATGTTGCTCCTATGCTTATTGCAGCAGAAGCCACGTTTTCCTTCCTGCCTTTGTCATTACTTTTTTTCCCCTCTCGTTCCAAACTGAAATAATTTGATTATTTCCATTGAGGTATCTGCTTTTTAGTCAATGACTAAAACAATGGTCAATCTTTGTTTGTCAAATTATATTCAGTTTCAGTTCAGTGTAGAGCTACATGTACACAGTGCATTACTCCCATAAATTCTACAAAGCAACTAAAGATGTCTTCAGCATAGCAGCACAGCCGCTGATAGCGTTCTCAGTTACTGGGGAAATTTCTGTCTTATATTTTACCAGTACCAGATGTATATTAAGCAATAAGCTATACTATTTTGGCAGTGTGTCTGCGGCAAATTAGAATTTCTGCAATACATAACAAATAAAAGCATTTATCTTAACACAGAAAGTCACCTTCAGCTTATTTCTGTTTTTTTTTAGGGGTCGCCACAGCGAATCGTCACACTGACGACTCGCATGTTGACATTTGGCACGTGTTTTTACTCACTCTCCTTTTAGTTTTGATTTGGCTTCCAGCAAATCCTAAGGGAAATGTTGGCCTCTTTAGCAGCTAAATGCTACATTTCCTACACAAGCTAGTTACTAACTACATGTACGTCTGTCTGCTGTTCGGTGCTGGGCAGTTACTGCATCTGTAGATTTTTGACAGCCTTTTCACTAAATGCTGGCTGCTAGATCCGTAAACTGTGCTCATGAGAGCATTAAAGTGAACTAACAGTAAAGCTGCAGCCTATTTGGTGAAAGGGAAGGGGGGTATAACTTAAGGGGACATTTAAATTTAAAAGTTCATGCTATACGAACAACCAAAAAAAGATTTTGTATTTCTATAAGTGGGGTCAAACTATGGAATAACTTAACTGTGGACATGAAAAATAGTACCAGAATTAAGGAGTTTAAATATAAATATAAATGTATGTGTTATACAAGATATATGCACGAATAAGTAACAATCTGCTTTATCTATGTAGTGATATTGCTTGCAGCCAATGTTGCATAAATTTTGTATAATATGATGTCATGGGGTAGGACTGGATAAGTCTGACTTCTTCCTACTCCATTCAAACATGTATTAGGTGTAAGCTAATTGATTTTGAATTAGTATTGGTTGGATATGTGTAATCATGTGTGTTATTGTCATTTGATCATTGTTCTGTTCTGTTCTGTCTGCATGTTTGAAAGAATAAATCAATCAATCAATCAATCAATCAATCAATCAATCAATCAATAAAAATGAAACAATGTGCTCCACAGAGTTGAGGGCAACTCATTTTCTGAGGGTTCAGCACCACAAATGATGCCTTTTACATTCCAAGTAGTCATTTGATCCATTGTTCTCATACAAACATATTGATCCACACAAATTTAAATATCAACCAGTCAGTATGTAAAGGTAAAAAATATTTACTGCCTTGAATTTTATACTATCATTAGTCTAATGTCCTTTAAACAGAAGTTGCCAGAGGTCCAGTAAGAAAAGTGAGATTAAAAAACAAATGTATGAAACAACTGCAGCTGCAGCATGACTGATCGCTGTTACTGTGTTAAAATGACACTGCACACAAGCAGGGGTTTCAGCAAACGTGTAGTCCCTTTTAAGAACATTTCAGATTTAGCTTTTTCAGAATAACTTGTCAAATTAGGACAACGTATTTAATCAAATACAGGATGAAAATAACTACATTTACCTTTTGTGGTTAAACAGGTAACATTTTAATGAAACAGAAAAAAGATCTAATAAAGAAGCATGTACATTTTTCATTACTACATCTAGGTAACCAGAACTGTTCTCCACCTTATACACATAATCGAATATGGGTGGTCTGTTTGTGTTTTGGGGTTGAGCAGTGTTTGTTTTCTTAGGTGAAATAGAAAAACATCAGTTATGAAACACACTTGTTAAAATATGTGACACAGAGACCTCTGTCTAGTGAAAACATATTGTAGCATGTTTTGTGACTGGTCAACAGAAATCATGTGTTTGTCTGTTCAGCTGCTACAGCAAAATGTGTCATCCTTTAGTTCACACATTCTCTGGTATTTTTTTTACAAAATGAAGAAAAAACTATTTTTGTTTTTTTTTTTTTTTTTTTGACAAAAGAAAACTTAAATTCAGCCTTACCCTAAAGGTAAATTTTTCCAAGTTGAGATGGCGAGCCACCAGCAGGGAGAAGGTGTACCACTGTTCAGTAGACATGGAGCAGAAGGTGTTGAAGATGACCACATCTGAACATTTCATATTCATAGATGCGGAGCTGCATTGATGCAGGTTGGCCAACCAGGACAGGATCTGATACAAAAGCATTTTTGGAAAAGGTTAATACTGGTAACAAGAGCACAGGAGTTGGTATATCATGCTTAAAACTATGAGACCCGATCCCAACTTTCATGACAGACTTAAAACATGTATGTTGAGACGATGGTCAAGATTTGGAAAGGTAAAACATTGAAGCGACAACTGTCAACCAGATGTAACTGTTCCTTCTAGCTAGAAAATTGGATGTTTGTTCCAATTTAAGGGACATGCACAAGTCACATAGGTCAGCTGTTGTTATTTTACTCACTTGTGCAGACAATAATGTGTTACCTCCAGCTGACAAATTCTATTTAAGTGATTTCCTCTGCCCTTTTGCTACAAACCCTGCAGTGTACTAGCAATACTTTTCAGAGGACAGCCTTCTATTCCACTAAGTCATGTCAGCTCGAGAGAAATGGTCTATGTACAGTGGCCAACCACTAAATGATGTTGTTTAGCCTTGCAGCTCAGTATCCACTGCATGTTAAAGGCAACATAATTTATTATTGTTTTCCCGATTGATTCTCTATCAATAAGACAAGCTAGCTTTACATAAAGCAACTGTGCCATTTGCTGAAAGTTACAGCATTATCCTCCAATGACAGTAAAGCAACATTTACTATAGGTCGCATCATGTAGAACCAGCCTCAGGTAAAATACTCTACATAGACTACAAAGGTGTAATTTAAGAAAAAAATGCTACTTAATAACAGGAAGTGTGGAGCAGATTTAATGGCGTACAAGTGCATCTCTTAGAAAAAACATGACAGCCTGGTGAGCATGACTGGTCAGACCTGGCAACCATGACCTCTGAAAACATTACCACATCGTTTGCTGAGGAATATCAGAAAATGGTGTCTGCACCACTGCAGAGTCTGAAGAATTCTGTGTGTCTCTAAATTCTTCAAGGCAGTGATTAAATATTTGCTTGCACACTTATAGTATGTGGACACACTGGGACACATAATGAGGAACCCTTTGGCTTACCTCCTTATTGCTGTTCGGTAGAGGGGTTTCCATCAGCAGGTGGAGAACTGATAGATTAAAATCCATGTATTGCTGAACATCCAAGACAAAGGCAGTTTGATTCCTCAGCATCTCACCAACCATCACCGTTCCTGTGAATTAAAGTTATATAAGCTCAAAACATTTGTTTGTTTGCCTGTTTTGTTGTATCATTGGAAACCGTTTATGAAACGAATGACGTGGCAACATGGCACCCACTGAGGCAGACGTGGTTGCACAGCGTTCCACTCTCGAATGCCGGCTTTTTCTTTGTTTTTTCTTTTTTGTATGTTTTTTACTCTTTCTGCAGTGAACAAATGTCATGCACTGCTAACATACAACAGACAGGCATTGCTGGATATCGCCAACTCACACAGCCACTGGGAAATAACTGGTTTCATACCACCGGAGCTACAACTCACTGTCCGCTCCCACAACAACAACAACATCGACTACAACCATCACCCTCAGGGAGCCCAAACGGGGCAGATGAGGAAGACTCCATGCTAGGCTAAAAGCTTGCGCTACTCGACCGCCATTACCCAGCCTCTTCCTAGCTAACGAAATTTCCCCACTGTGGGATCAATAAAGTACCTACTCTAGAGTCACTGGAAAACAAACTGGGCTAGGATTACAGCACAACGGGAAATCAGAGAATGCTGTGCTCTAATTCTCACCGAGACTTGGCTTTCTGGCAAAGTCCCAGATTCCGTGATTCAGCTACAAACACATTCTGTACATTGAGGAGATCGCACTGCTGCTTCAGGGAAGGTAAAAGGAGGTGATGTGTGTGTGTTCATCAATAACTCGTGGTGTAGAGATGTACAGACTGTTTATAAGCACTGTTCGCCAGACGTAGAGTTTTATTGCTGAAATGCCGGCCCTATTATCTAGCAAGAGAGCGTAGTGCTGTGTTTCTGGCTGCTGTGTATGTTAGCCCAAGAGCTAATCCCTCGACGGCTCTCAGCAAACTCAATGATGTCATCAACGTGCTAGAGACAGCTCACCCTGATGCTGTATTTATCGCTGCAGGCAACTTTAACCAGTGCAATTTAAAGACTGTACTCCCCAAATATTACCAACATGTGAACATTCCCAACCGGGGCAAGAACACTCTGGATCATGTTTACAGTAACATACGTGGTGCATACAGGGCTGCACCCCACCCCCACCTTGGATGCTCAGACCACATTTCTTTGTTCCTGTATCTAGCTTACATACAAAGACTGAAACAAACAAACCCGGTCACCAAACAAATTAAACTCTGGACCCCAGAGACTGAAGCCACCCTGCAGGACTTTTTCACCCAGAAGGGATGTGTTTAAAGCTGCAGCCACCTTGGAGGACTTTTCTGTCAGCGTTCTGTCTGTTCTGCTGACTCTGGACAGATGTGGCAAGGCCTGCAGCACATCACAGACTACAGGACCACCACCAGCATCATCAGCTCCACAGAC